TTTTGAATGTTCACGAAGAAAATGGGACTCCTGCCAACAAAAATGATTTTTTAAGTCTTCATTTTGACCAAGTTTGGTGATGGGCACACATGAAAAAGGTTGGTTTCTCAGCAGTTTCTGTGAGGTAGTTGCTTGGAATCTGTCTACCAAAAGGAAAAAAGGGAAAACAAGAGCTTATCCACCTAAAACATTACATTAAAATAAATAAACTTATATGGAAATGCCCTTAAAACCTGCTCTGCTGTCCTGTCTGCACTGCTCTTGGACTTGACATTTCACAATAATCTTCCTGCAAAAAAATCCATATTCTGAGAATCTCTCTCAAAATATTCATATTCAAAACTCTACTTGGGAGAAGTTTGAGTTAATAAAACAAGATCCAAAAGAATTAATATATTCAAAAATGGATTCCTAGAAGGGCATCTTGTTTTGATGTTAAGATGTTTACATTAATCTCAAGCATGAAATGTCTGGGAGAATTAGAGCATTTCCTGGAAAGACAGGTACATTCTTCTTAAAATGGTAAACAAAATGCTAGGCTAGTCAAAATTCCTTGGCTCTGGCATACTGAAAGGCGCTATAGCCTGTCCCAGGAAGAGCTTGAATCCATTGTGCAAGTCAACTTTATGATGGATCTAAACTGAGACAAGCTAGAATTGTTTCACTGTTTTCATCAGCTTGAAACAGATGCTGAGATTTTCTACCTTACTCCTTATTAGCAGAGGAAGTTTGATTTATATACACAACCACAGCAAGGCTGACGCCTCTTGCCTGGAACATGAAGAACTAACATTAGCTTAGCTCCATTTCTTATTCTCCACCTTCTAGTTCTTCTTGATCCTCTAACTGAGCTTCTTCTTTGATGATTATTTCTTCACCTCCACTTACATGATTTCCACTGGCATGCTGGAAAAACAATCCAGAGGAGGATGAATCATTTTCATCAAGATCCTCTTCATTTTCCTTGTCCTTTGACCTTGGGACCATTTCTCTAAGCATCCATGCAGGGCAATGGTGTACTACTCCTAGAGCAGCCTTAACTTGGAAGTGATTTGCAGAAGCATTAGTTGACTTTTCCACTGAATCATACCTCAAGCAAGAACATTCTGGGACTGGATGAGCCAGAAATGACGATGACTTTGATTTATTGGATGCTGCTATTAGTCCATCAAGTAAACTGCTTCGCAAATGCCTCCTTATTGATGTTAACCAGGTATGGTTTGCATGATACATGTGGCCCTTGATTTCTTCCAAAAGTTTAACAACTTCCTTCCTATATTGACAGGGCAAGAAAATCAAAAAGAGCAAAGGGAAGAGAAGGCAAGAAAAGGATTATATTCCATATTTGTGCAACAGGTAACATAAAAGATTTTAACATTATCACAGCACATCCAAGCAGCACATGATCACATATCTGTCCAGATTAAGCGATCATTCTAATTGATATTAATTAAGTTACAAGTTCTTCTAAAGGTATGTCTGGTTAGAGATCAATACCTGTCTGGCCTGTAAGTTTTTGATGCAGCTGACTGATAAAGCCTGTGCCCCATCACCAAACTTGCAAAATTTGGATGTCCCTTGCCATCTGAATCAAAGCCTGGGATGAAAACATCAGCTTCAACGGAAATCAGATAGTCTATGGCATCCCAGAGTAATTTATGTGCATTAGTCCTCAACTCCACCACTGTGCTTTCAGGCTCATTATCACTCTCAGCCACCCAACCCCACCACCCTTCAATGTTATAGGTCTTGGGTCGAGCTGGAGGAGGAGGAAGGGGGCGGGGACGAGGACCAGCATTTTTCCATGCATCAATCTTCATTTCTACCTCAACAGATGGTGGAGTCCTTGGGTAGTTTCCATCAAGTTTTGCCTCACGGCCATAAATTCTGTTGAGCTCCCAACCTGTGCTAAGTGAAGTCCTATCAACAACATTTTCAAACATGGCATGAAGGGGAACAAGTATCCTTTGACCTCCAAAAACTTCTCCTCCAGTGACATATATAATTGTATCAGACGAGTATCCATATGCACGAAGAAGAATTCCAACCTAGAGAACAGAAAGGTGACTTCAATCAAGGTCCAAGTTCTCAGAATCTCTTACTCTCTAGAAGACATTTCTCCTCATCTAAGTTTTATATCTATGCACTACTGTGCCAATTGAAAAATACTAAACTCATCATTTCTTACCTCTTCAGGCATTAATGGACATGAACCTTTAAGGCGTTGTTTTGCTGAATTCACAGAAAGCTCCCCCTTAATTATCCCACGTTTTTTCATCCAAACTCGTCTGTGCTGAATGAGCTCAGTGTGCACATCCTTGAGAGGAGCTCCAAGCCACAAAATATGAGTCAAATGATGGATAAGCTCAGGTAATAAAGAAATTTGGAATTCAAAGCTCTGGAGGTCCTATTCATGTTTAAAGCTGGTACCTGGAAGAGTTCAGCACAACCATGGTATGCTAAAGTATCTCTAGTCATTCCAGGATCATAGGCTATAAATCGACGTCCAGGAGCTCGTAACCTAAATTATAACATAAAACATTTATCAAGCAAGCCAGATAAAAGTCATTCCAGCATCATAGGCTATAAATGGTCATCCAAGAGCTCCTAACCTAAATAAAAAGAGCCAGGTAAAAATAACTTAAAACAATTGGGGCAGTCATTTACCTCAGCAATATCTTAGTTGCCAATTCCTGGACCTCGTCCCGGAACTGTAGAGCATGAAAAGCAACTCTACATCTCAACCTTTGATACTCTTCGAGATGGGGAGGAAGAATGGCCTGTCAGATCCAGAAAAGGAATAAGGGGCAGAGTCAAATTAGGCACATTTTCAGTTTTAAAAGGTAACAAGATTTCCAATAGTAACAACATGCCTCTGTGTTCAAACATTCATGCCAATGAATAGGTTTAGAAAAACCAAAAGCAAGATATGTTAGTAACAAAGTTATAAAGTGCAAATATATTGAAAGTTAAAAAATGGAAAAATAGAATCTAGCCACATATTCAATGAAAATGGTAAGTATTATCACCTGCAAGCCGCCACCTTCAGAAACAACCAGTTCAACCACTGAATGCTTGATTAGCATAGGAAGCACATTGTGCAAGTAAAAATATGGTGAAGCTGCATATGGCACTCTAAAACTTGGGATCTCCTTCTTTCTCCTTGCCCATTTAAGGCCTTTTGGAAGGGTTTTCACGACATTGATGTCTTTGGCTAGTGCTGCCATGAATTGGTCCTCATTGTAGAGGTATGCAAAGCTCTTAAACTGAGAGCTGGATTAAGCAAAGGACAAAGTGAATTGAAGAGACAATGCTAATTACACCAGACAGATGTAATCTAACTCTTAACTAAAATTGAAGTTGCAATTGTGATAAAAAAGACAAAAAAAATATATGGCAACCTGATTCCCTTACTGCTTGTTGTTGATTGAATCTCAGGAATAACTAGGGTAGCATTGAGAATTCGAGTAACTAAAACCACATCACATATCTGGAACATGAAGATGAATAATTAAAAATACTATACCATGAACAAATAATAATATTAAACTGAATTTGGAAAAAGATAATTAGAACCAGGCCATCCTCACCGAGTTCCTAATCTCATGGAAACCACCTTGTATTCTGACAAAAATAAACCCCGTTGTCCGTGCACTGGGATCTGTTATCCAAAAGTGTTTATGTAAATTCTGTTAGTAAATTCTGTTCAACTATACAAAGGCCAGCCAATAAAGCTTAAGAACCATAAAATTAATAGGCAAATGAGAGTTAACCCGCATAGTATCCTCTGGGATTTGCATTAGGCTGTAAGGATTCCAGTGGTCTCACTGTACCCCAAAGCCTTCTATACAATGGACTCTGCACAAAAGGTTAAGAATAAGAGAAAACCATAAGAAGCCATAAAATAGAGAACAATATAAACCAATAAATTAAGCATATAGGAGAAAATGAAGCAAGACATTAAGCATAAAGGGGACATGATAACTTAAACAAATTCAAGAGAAGCACTGGCTAAAACCCAGGTGGGTATAGCAAAGTTAACTTCCAAATACTGAAACAATTCAAAATTTCAACCCAAATTAGATACTAACAGCAAAATTAAGCTAATCTAAGTACAGAACAAACAAACAACACATATATGGACGTTTTCAATGGCCAGAAATGGATCCAGATTCCAGAAAAAATTTAAAAAAAAAAAAAACCCAAAAGAACAGTAGAACCAACAACAAAATCAATCTCTCCCAAAAATCATCAGAATTCATTAAAAAAAAAGAAACCCAAAACCCAGAAAACAGAAGACTACAAATAAAGGAGCCCAAATTCAAACAAGATAAACCAGCAGAAACAAAGCAGAGAGAAAAATAGGATCTTTGCAAGGTTTTGAGTAAAAATAGATGATATTTCCGCAGTCTACACATTACATTTCTTGAAAGGTCTGCATTTTCAAAGATGGGCCTCCAGGAAAATATTGTGATTGAAGACTGGTACTCCCCAACTCCATCCACCGTGAACCTAGCAAGCAACAAGTGCACACCAATAGAGAAAGCTGAAAGGACAAGACCAAATAAACCAACCCATTTCAGCTTAGACATAAGAAACATCTTCCCTTCTCCTTTCATCTCCCTGCCTACAATTCAAAGCTTCAAGAAAAGGAAACAAAATAGAAAAATGTAGTGGTTATAAAAAAAGAGTCAGGTGGAGAAACAGAAAGACAGAAGAAGACACATGGGAGAACATGGCTTGTAAAATTAATGAGACTAAGTGAAAGGTCGTGTTGAGTGGTAAGACTTAAATAGATCAGAGTCAATAGACATGCCATATTTTGATAGATCTTGTCTGAATGCCCACTCTCTCATCAAGCTTGTTAACACACGCTCCAATCACAAGTACACAGATTTTTTTTCTTGTCCTTTTTTTTGTTTATTAAATTTTTTTTATAGTAACATCTTCTTTTCCCTGCAAACGTTTTAATTATTAAAAAGTGGGATTTTAGAATCATTCCCCTAGAAAAGTTGGAGAAAATATATTTTTTATTTCTTTTTTTTGGTAAAAAAAATGTATTTTTTTTTTTATTTCTTTATCTTGGCTGTTCATGCTTCGCCAACAGTAGAAACAAAGTGACCTCCAGTCTCGTGATGCAAATGAAAAAGGAGTAATAGAGGTGTGTATTGGGTAAGAGAAAATTTTTTTATTTGAAAATAATTTTTCTTTTCTTGTTTAATAAAAATGATAATTTTTAAAAATGTGTTTGGTAAATAAAAATGAATTTTATTTTAAAGATAAAATATTTATATATAATATTTAGTCTCTTAATTTTTGTAAGTTCAAAAAATCACTTTTAACAGTTTTTTTGTTGCAATTAATTGCTGAATCATAAAAAAATATAAAAAGTCTATTGCAATAAAATATTTTTACAACAAATCTCAATTAAAAATTAAAAA